TACTGGGGGCCATTGCTGCGGGCGCTCTGGTGGGGAGAGGTGACGCGAATCAGTAGGGTCCTGCTGGGACCCCTCCGGTCTCGCGAGGCCTGGGAGTCTGACTCCGAGGCGGGGCGCTTCGCGTCGCGGCTGCGGTCTGAGTGCTGGGCACTCTCGAGCCGAGACTGGGAGGAGGAGAGGAGGAGGAGGAGAGGAGGAGGAGGACGGGGAGAGGGAGGAGGAGGAGGAGGAGGGGGGAAGGAGGAGGAGGAGGAGGAGGAGGAGGAGGAGGACGGGGAGGAGGAGGAGGAGAGGGGGAGGAGGAGGAGGGGGAGGAGGACGAGGAGGGGGATAGATGGATAGACAGCGCCTCGGAGAGGTCGGAGGGTGAACGCACCAAACACACTGGGCAATGAAGCAGTTGCGCTATCGAGATCGAATTCGGAGCTTCTTTAGCCTTGATCCTGGCTAGAAGGGCTGCCATCCTCTGTTCAAACTGGGGGACTTACCGGTCACTGCAAAAACTTCGGGGGACCGAGGAAACACTGGAGATCGAGCTTGCACTGGCCATGGTCGCATCGAGCCGAGTCACGGGGAGAGCTTGATCAATCAGCTCTCTCATCCTGGGATTCGGCCCTAAACCGCGACGAAAATTGCTCAACACCTCAGCCCCCTTCTTGGTCGGCTCCTGGCGCAACTTCCCAAATTTCGCCGTCCGCTCCTGTCACAACCGCTGACTCTCCTGGCCTCCCTGCGCACTGACATGGGGGGACCCGGGCCTCTCTTGAGCCTGCTCGCCGGAGCGAAGGGCTGGGTCTAATCCCCTGCGCCTCGGAGGAAGACGAAGAGGCGGAGGAGGAGGAGGAAGCGGAGGAGGGGGGAGGAGGAGGAGGAGGAGGAGGAGGAGGAGGAGGAGGAGGAGCAAGAGGAGGAGGAGGAGGAGGAGAAGGAGGAGGAGGACGACGACGAGGACGAGTAGGAGAAAGAGTATTCGTAGAGCGAGGAGCCGAGCCGCCTCTGGCGCCGCCCCTGGCGCGCTCCGCGCGCTAGGGAGGGGGGTCCAGCGCGGATCCGAGAAGTCCGCGCGGACCTCCGAGTTTTGTCATTCTTCGTTCCCCTGTCAGCCCTGACATGGTCAGAGCCCAAGCCACTGTCCACCTCACACGCAAGGACGCGCTCCCGCCCGGCCCCCCTCCCACGTCGCACCACCTCGGGCAGTGCGAAGAGTGCGCCAACGCTCCACACCTCAGCGGGTGCGGAGGGTCCTGGGCGACACGGCTGCCTCAGCCAGTAAGCTATGACATTGCGAGATGGGTTCCGAGCAGCATTCGCGGGACCTTCATCTTCGTGGGTGCACGGTGTGGGCGGTCCCCGCGGGCCGCAGCAAGATCAAGGGGAAACGTCTTCCGTCACCACGTCTGCGCAAAGCATTCGGCGCAGCCTGTGATGGCCAGGATCCCACCTCGGATATTCTTGGCCTCCCCCTCCCCGTCGAGCTCGGAAGGGGACGGGGCCTCCTCATCAGGAACTCGGGCAGCGGCCGAGTAATGGTCGGCGAGCCGATCCGCGGCATCGCTGATCGCCGCCACGTTAAGAAACTCCCGACTGCCAGACCGCTGCTTTGCTTACGAAAGACGGCTGGCAACTTTGCGGACCCTTACGTCCCGCTAACCCATGAGGCCGTTCACAGAGTGGGGATTTGGGGGACCAGCGCCCTCGGGAGAGCTTGAAAAACCCTCGGACAACATACAGGGAACTGGTGATATTTGAGCAGGGACCGACCGTCCCGGCAGTCCTATAGTCATACCACGAAATGTTCTCAGAAGCCAAGAATGTTCCAAGAACAAAAACAATGTTCTTAGAACATAAACCCGATGTGATAAAACAAAACAGACTCCACCAGAAATGTCCTGAGAATATTTCGTGGAAGCCATAAAAGGTTCTCAGAACATTGTTCGGTAGGGCTATGGGCGAGCCAGGACGCTTCGCCGCTGCTTGAGATATACCCAAGGTCAAACTCCACAATCGCGGGCAGGGCTCCCCGAAAGGCTACGAGCTCCCCGCGGCTTTATCCCTTGGCCCGCTCCCGAGGGGGCTCCACCCAAACCCCGAGTCGCGGCGGGGCTCTATTGGGCCGCGTGAGGGTCGAGGAGGGGGAGGAGGAGGAGGAGGAGGAGGAGGAGGAGGAGGATGAGAGGAGGAGAGGAGGAGGAGGAGGAGGAGGAGGGAGGGGAGGAGGAGGAGGAGGAAGGAGGGAAGAGGCGGAGGCGGAGGAGGAGGAGGAGGAGGAGGAGGAGGAGGAGGAGGGGGAGGTGGAGGAGGAGGAGGATAGCTCCAGCTGGCCTCAGAAGGCCCCCCGAGTAGCCCCGGCTGGCCTCCGCAGGCCCGCCGAGGAGCCCAGGGGCGGCCTCGACACCCCGGCGCCGCGCCTCCGGCTGCGCCCCCGTGGCGCTACGCGCCCCAGGGTTACGTCGGGCCTGCCCCCCCTACAGGAGGATCTTCGACGAAAAACAAAAAAATACCCCCAACAAATAATCCCAAAATACTCCGGCTTTCGTAATTAAAAGGGAGGGGGTCTGGACCCTCCAAGACAAGCCATTTCAGACCTCCCCCGTGGGAGAACCCTCCAAAACATCGTCCCAGACCCCCCAGGCCCTCCAAGATAGCCTGGAAGAGACCCCCCCCGAAATGAGACCCCCCTCCCTTTATAACGAAATCTGGAGTAGTCTGGGGACTATTTTTTGAGTATTTTTGTTTACCTTTGTGGGGTATGTTTGGGGTATTTTTTTTTTCGTCGAAAATCCCCCTGTAGGGGGACAGGCCCGACTTAACCCCAGGGAGAACGATCGAGACTTTCCGTTACGGGGGGCTCCCAAATGGGGTCGGAGTAGATGGGGTCGCGGGAACGCGCCGCATCGCCGACGCATCGCCGATGCATCCACGACGTCAGCGACGCGTCGGCGACGCTGGCGTGGAGATGGCCAGACTCCGCACCAAGCCGCATCGCCGAGGCATCGCCGATGCGGCGTGCTTCTCCGGCCCCATCTACTCCGATGATATCGGCTACACGCAAGAGTGACCCTGGGTAAGAGTGACCTTTGGTGCGCGGCTTTGGGGGGGCCGCGGGGGGACCAAACCTGGGCGCGCAAGCCGCTGCTCCTGCTTCGTTTTCAGCCACCTGGGGACCCATCTGTGCCCGCACCAACGGTCACTCCGGCGAAAGGTCACTCTTACGTCCAGTCGATGATAGCACCTGTCATTCTATGCAGTCCGATCCCAAGCCACCGGGCGGAGCTCAACCTTGAACGCCCGGCCTGCGGTCGCCGGCGCGTCGTTCGGGGCGGACCTGCCGCGGCAGCGAGGGCGGCCCGAGGCGAGGGTGAGCTTTGGGACGCACGCGGCCTCGGGGAGGGGTTGGCAAGCCCTAATTAGCGCCCGGGCCGCTGCTATGGCATCGCGTTCGGCGAGCGGGTGACCCCGGTGGGCGCGCACCAGCGATCACCCCATCGAAGGGCCACTCGACCGTCGGGCCATGACTCCAGCCTCCGGCGGCCTGTCGGTGCGACTCGGGCACCACGGGAGCGCTGCCAGGTGCGCTTCCAACACTGCTTCAAGGTTGCCGCTAAGCGCCACCTCCTCCTCCTCCTCCTCCTCCTCCTCCTCCTCCTCCTCCTCCTCCTCCTCCTCCTCCTCCTCCTCCTCCTCCTCCTCCTCCTCCTACTTCTCCTCCTCATAATCCCACACATCCTCCTTCCTAGTCCCCTCCCTATCTCGTTCCCGTCCTCATTTTTCCTTCTCCTCTTTTTTCCTCCTCCTCCTCCTTTTTTCCATTACCTTATCAATCACATCTCCCTGTCGCACCCCGAGGCCAGTTTTTAGGGCGGGCCAGGCGTTTCGCCTGAGAATTCCTCGCCACTTATGACTCTGAAACCACAGATGTAGGGTGGGTGGTTTTCGTTTTTAGAAATTGCAAGGGTTTCACGGATTCGGGGCGGGTGGTTTTCAAAATGTGGCTCTCGCCTTAGCGCCGCGCGCATTCGTTTAAAAAAATCAAGAGTTTCACGGATTGGGGGCGGGTGGTTTTCAAAATGTGACTTTCGCCTCAGCGCCGCGCACATTCGTTTGGAAAATTGGCAACAGTTTCACAGATGGAGGGCGGGTGGTTTTCAACATGCAATTCTCGCCTTAGCGCGGCGCACAATTGTTTTGAACAATTTCAAGAGCTTCACGGATTGAGGATTGAGGGCAGTTCCTTTTTCAAGATGTGGTTCTCGCCTCAGCTCGGCGCACATTCGTTTTAAAGAATTGCAAGAGTTTCGCGGGTTCCCATCATCAACGTACCAGAAACAATGTTTTGGAAGGATTCTGGATTATGCGGGTGCAACAGTTACGTTGATTCTCTGTGTTGAACTCTGGAAGTGCGCCCTGGCACGATTCAGGACTGTCAAAACGCAACAATCAGGTTGATCCGTGGCGTCGGAATCCCGAGAATAATGTTTTGGTATGCTTCAGGGTCTTCAGACGGTTGTCTTGCAACGAGGCAGTTCCCTCAACGGAAATGAATCGTTGTAAGAGGCCTACGAAGAGGGAGCTTGGAGCGAGGGTTTACTCCAACATCGTTGATGACTCTTGGGTTTACACTGGTCCTTCTCCTCCTCACTCCTCCTCCTCCTCCTCCTCCTCCTCCTCCTCCTCCTCCTCCTCCTCCTCCTCCTCTTCCGTTCTGCATCTGCCACAGATCCTCGATGTCGTAGGGCGCCAAGGGTCTATATCGCGGCTGTGATTGAGGAGGGTGGCGAGGCGGCGGAGGACGACGAGCGATAAAAGGAGGAGGGAGGAGGAGGTAAGAGAAGAAGGATGACGAGCGAGAAAGCGAGAGAGGAGGAGATGAAGGAGGAGGAGGAGCACGAGCCAGAAGAGGATGAAAGAGGGGAGGAGGGGAGAACAGAAGGGAAGACAAGGACGGATAATGAAGAAGGAGGGCGGGGCGACATTTTACGGCTGAAGAAGGGCGGGGCAGC